GGCATGATGAAGAGATTTGCTGGTTGATCTCACCAAAATAGGACGACCGATTTCAGTTTTTATGATGTCATTTAGCTTTAATATGACGTTTATGTTGACTCAATACATAAGACATCCTCCCTCATTTCTGGTGAAACCGACTAATCTTTTCATCATTTATTTTCATACGAAACGAAACTCTTGCCAACAACGTTTTCTTAATGGATTCATGGAAACTAATTTATTATTCATATTTATGAATAGTAAGCCGATTTCCTTTTCGAATGAATGCGTGTCTGATAAAGAGATTCGAGCGTAGATCTTACCAGAAGACGACGAATAATTTATTTCGTCCAATTGTCTATTGGTTTTACTGGATCGTCTTGGCTTAGTTTTCTTGCCTTGCGGTTTGTAATAATGAAGCCCTGTTCCCATATTTTTTTTTGTATGATACATTAAAGTGTAGCACGTTTTATCATAATTGAATGAGATTGCCTTGGAAACAGACCAACCAGAATGTTCCATTAAACCAAACCGAATGCCGATAAAGAGGAATCCGCCATCGTCTTCGTATGGGAATTTACCTTCTAATCTCTCAATCACACATTTTCACTGTAAATGTAAATGTATTAATCAATTTTAACCCATGAGGCTACTCAAAGTTCAAGTTTTTTTGTTACAAATTGCATGGGAATTCTTTTCTCTGTATGAATAATTCACGAAGAAAAGTTGGGTTTCGAGGAATCTCTTGTTTCATAATTGTTGAGCTTACTTCCATTTCGAGTAGAGTGAGCTGTGCAAATAAATATGAAGAAAAGTTAGGTTTCGAGGAATCTCTTGTTTCATAATTGTTGAGCTTACTTCCATTTCGAGTGAAAGTGTTCGGTTAAAGAGATTCGAAGGTCGGTTCCACCAGAAGACGACGGCGAATTCCTCTTGACCAGTTGTCGATTGGCTTTCTGGAAGATTCATGCTGACGCGGTTTTCGAGGCAATCTCCCTCGATTCCGGTGAAAAGGTGCTAAGCTTTCGTCCGTCATATGACGGACATCGGGCAGATTCATGCTGACGCTGTTTCCGAGGTAATCTTCTTCGATTCCGGTGCAAACTTGCTTAGTTTCGTGCGTCGGAGGTCGGTTCCACCAGAAGACGACGGCGGATTCCTCTTGACCAGCTGTCGATTGGCTTTACTGGAAGATTTGTGCTGACGCTGTTTCTGAGGCAATCTCCTTCGATTCTGGTGAAAACGTGCTAAGCTTTCGTCCGTCATCGTGCTGACACTGTTTCCAATGCAATCTCCTTCGATTCCGGTGAAAACGTGCTAAGCTTTCGTCCGTCATATGACAAACATCATCAGAGCGAGGTACCATCGTCACAACAAAATTGAAGCTAACGAGTCAAGAAAACTTGCCGGCAAATCCCTAAAAAGTGGTATATATACTCTATATCTGGCCTCTTTGATCGAGTATAAGGTGATTTG